CCCTCTATCTAAAAAATCAATTGAAATATACATAAAAATAAAACAAATATATAAAAAACTATCAAGGGAAACAATATATGTACACATGCACACACACATAAAATACACCAAAACACTAGTGGGTGATTTTTATCTGATATATATAATGCATATATACATAAAATAAATAAACATATATAATATATATATATAATAAAGAATGGTATTATTAAAAAACATGATTTATGGCTCCCTGCTATCTACAGGATCAATCAAGTCCAAGCTCCTTAGCATTGCATGTATGAGTCCCTGTGTTCTGGACTTGCCATACTCTCCCACCCCATCCTTCATCTTCTACTGGATCACTGAACCTCAGTGACCTAGATGACTACTCTTTCCAGTCTCCATATATTTGCTGCATAATTCTTTCTGCCTGGTGTAACATCCCAACTCTTAATTGCTTAACTCAGTCCTATGTATTCTTCAAAAATTGGTTCTCTTCTTCCAGGAAGCCTTCTGGGTCCTCCAGTCTGAGTTAAGTGCTCCCCCTAGATGTTGTCATGGCAGGAATACCATGCTTCCACCATAGCACTCACCATATTCTACCACAGTCATCAGGGCTCTGGGCTGTCACCTAGGTTGCATCGAGGCCAGATGGTATCCCTGTGTGAATTCTGAAGGGCACCCCTTCCTCAACATCCTTACTGTCATTTGCCAGAAAACTGCCATATAAACATACAAATCCATGATGATCATGATGTGATTGGCACTTCCTGGAAAACCGCGGTGCACCTCTTGCCCAAACATATGCAGTAATCTGGTGTCCCCTGCTAGATTATAAAGTCCTGCAGGCAGAGATTGGCTTTATTTTCATGATTTTATCTTTAACACTAAACACAGTATCTGATCCAGAGTAGGACTTTGATAAAAGCTTGATAAATAAACGAAAGAGAAACTACTGCCTCTACTGGTACCTCTGCCAAGAACTCTGCCAGCCCTCAGCATAGAGGGAATAGGAAGCTATGCTGCAGTGGTTCCCAAACCTGAATAAACATCCAAATATCCTGCAACTAAACATGAACAAACGGTCCTGTGCCCTACATTAGACCTTCTGAGTCAGAATCTGAAGGTTGGGGTCTGATTGTCATTATTTTTAAATTGCTGATGAGCTTATGATAATGATCAACCAGATCAACTGAGAACCACTGGCCACCCAGGATAAAATTCAAGACCACTCCCCTTGTCTTGATTCTTCCTCCTGTCACCAAAACCCTGCTGTTTATCTCTGGATACCACACCTGCTATAGAGCATTTCCAAAGAAGGAGCTTGCAGACTCTGACTTCTTCAATCTGGGCGTATTAGATTTCTGGGTGTTCCAATGCAAGCAAAGGCACTCAAGTAGGAAAGGGGAAGAGAGCACAGTAGGACATTTACAGTGCATGAGAAAGAAAATAAAATCATAACCTACCAGAATCTAGGAAAATAATAATCTGCCTTTTTAATTTTCCAAAATAGTATTTAAACTTTCTGCTTATGTAAATTGAGGTTGCAGCTGAACTGCCTAAGCTGTGAGTACTCTATGGGTCAGGCAAATGTGTGCATGTCTGAGGAGCAGCTAGCTGGATCCACCAAAGCTCTTTGCATCTCAAAGGGGAAAAAAATCCTAAAGGAACAGGGTAGTAAGCATGCATGCACTCATTCCAGGATAGCAGTTATCACTCTCTAATCACTTACTATATGCTAAGCACTGTGATGGTCCTCAAAGGAAAAAAGCAATCTTAAACGTAATTGTATGTATTGCTCATGAGCCTATGAACTAATTCTCTTGCATTTGCACTTTGCATAGTCCTTGGGATGACAATAGAGGAAAGGGTAGGGGCAAAGATTCATATCCCTAAAATAGCCATAATGACCTGGTGGCACACGGCTGCACAGCTTTGAGAATGTAGGTGGACATGAAGATGTGGCCCTCTTGAGGGAGAGACTTTATTGTGGAGTATGTTGGAACATGACATAGCACGTACACCACCTAGTCATGGTGGGGAGAGCATCACTGCAACCACCTGGGGTCTGGAATACAAAACAACTGTAGATGCTACTTGGCAGCCAGGAAGGCTGCATTTGTAAGCTCGTGACATGGACTGTTGGTTACTTGCTGACCTATGTAGCAGGAATTTGCGAGGCAATGGAGTTACTAAAGTTTTGTGGTGGGAGAAGAGCACCATATGTCAGGAGCACTAGATTCCCCAGAGCAAGACATGAGGAAAAAACTTACAAAAAAATGTTGGGAAAAACATACATGTAAAACATGTATACTTTTCTCAAATTTATTGGCTAGCAATAAATAAAAACATGAATGAAAAAATACTTTTTTTTCCCCTGGGGTTGGGGGTCAGTACAACCATTTATCTATAGTATTAAAATAATCATGGGATAATAAAGGAAGTGCATAAATTTGGGAGGAGAAACTAGTCCTATTTGAAGCAGAAATGGCAGATTTTTCTGTATTCTTATTAATTCATGAGGTCATTATGTTCCCATAATTTTTTATCCACTGATAATAAGAAATCAAAGCTGCAACATACCATATACTTTTATTGGCTGGGCCTTTCTAAAATGAACAAGTATATCTTGTGAAATGAGAAAGTCTATTTTTTTCCCCGGGGAAGTTACCCATTGTTCAGTGTCACTTCTTGGTTAAGCTATAGCTTAAAAGGAGAAAAGAAATTTCTCTGATACTCAACTCTTTTAGGGCTGAAAAGAAGGCTATGTTTTGTCTAGAGAGGTTGGTTTTCTTTTTTTTTTTTTTTTTATCCTCACCCGAGGACATTTTTCGATATTTTGTTCAGATAGAGGGAGAGGGAGAAAGAGAGAGAGAAACATCGACGTGAAAGCGACACATCGAGTGGTTGCCACCCACACGACCCAACCAGGGCCGGGGACAAACTGCAACCAAGGTACATGCCCTTAGCGGGAACTGAACCCGGGTCTCTCCGGACCGCAGGCCGACGCTCTAACCGCTGAGCCAAACCGGCCAGGGCGAGGTTGGTTTTCTTTCTGTGATTTGCAAAAGATCCTATAAACTGCTTTGCTGACTTGTTCTCCAGAGCAACAAGTGTGACAAAGTCAAACCTTGATGACTTCAGCAAGTAGAAACCTGGCCGAGAATGACTGCACTTCCCCTGGGGCTCTTCGTCAGCTCCTCCCAGAGTACTCTGAGGCAAGGAGGAGCTCCTGAATCAGAGTTGGTATTTTGAAGGTTGATTTTGTATTTCAAAAGATCGGAACTGCCAAAGAAAGTTCAGCTCTACTTGAGTAAAGAGCTCCTTGGAATTGATTTTCCTACCATAGTATAACACTTCCTTAACCGTACATATTCAGGATTTATATCCAAATATTTAGGTCAAGTTGATATTTAAAAATAAAGAGAACATATTTTTACATTTTATCTTCTGAAACATCTTAGGAGCAAAAAGTGCCTTCATGATATTTGCACTAGCATAACTAGTAAATATTTACTCCCAATTATGTTTTGAAAGTAAAATATATTTAAAAATAACAAATTCTGAAAACTGCTAAGCACATACATACACTTAAAATGATGAAATGTGTTTAATTTCTGCATGCCGTGTTATATGTTTCAGTTCTTCTGGTTAAAAGAGAGCTATAAGTCATTTTGATATATGAAAAGGACGCTAGTTAAACAGAATTCTGCAGGAGTTTCAATTTTACTTTCAGTTTGGTGTCTAAGAATGCCACCCAGAATGAAAATATAGATCTTCTACCTGCTTTGATCCACTTTTGCAGGAACTTGTAATATGAGCTTGGAAATAAATTGTCCATAGAGGTAACAGGCTTTTCAACTTTTCCTAGTTCATTAATGTTAGATTGTTCAGCAATATAAAACTCTGCCTTAAAGAAAATCACCTAAAACACAGATTACATCACAAGTCCCAGCTACAAAGGAAATTTCAGCCACCAGAAAATACTCCTCAATTTTAATTTCCCAAAGGAGAGAGTTACTAATATTTCAAACATGTTTATTAAAAAAGAAAGCAACTCACCTCTTTGAAGAGTATTTGCTTGTAAGTGACTCTGGTAGAGACAGTCAAGTAAACCTACATTTTGTTCTGCTCTTTATTATTTCATCAAAGACAAAAGAGCCTCTGGTTGAAAGCTTGAAGCAAAAACCCTACCATCCACCTCAGAGGGGAGGGCAGAACTCTCCCCTGTGTCCAGGAGCTTCATCACACGCCCCACCAGCTGCGCACTGCCTATTGTTTTTCAGCAAGAGTGACCTCTAGCATCTTTTATTGAAGCACTGCAATACACTCTTAAAGGTTTGACGGCATACACGGAACAGACCACATGCCAAGCCAACACCTTAAGAGGGTGGGAAGCTTTTCAACCAGGAAGGCATGCTGAAAATATTTAGCAGTCAGCTCAATTGAATGGAAGCAAAGCCTTGCTTGTTTTTCAGAAAAGAATCCAGCAGTATGAGTCAAGTTGAACTGATTTATAAATTTTAAACTAGGGACCATTGGGAACTATGCCTTCGCTGCTCCAAAAGCTTCCCCTCCTTTACCTTAAGTTTAAATTCGGGGCAATGATATCACAATGGTTCTGATTTTCTCTAGTCTCTTGGGCTACCTCATTTATGCTCATTTAGTACCCTATCTTTCCCTGTTACCACAGACACACATACTCCCCAAGGAAGAAGTAGTTTTGATTTAAATATATCTGTCCAACCACGGCATAGACCAGGCATTTGGAGCAGTGGGAAAATGATCAGTAATTATTACCTGGGACCTGTGAAGTTGGTTAGAAGTGGGATTTCAGGTGAGCCAAGTTTTGTGGTTTCATAAGGACTTCGTCCCTCTGCAAGCTAAGTCCTGTTTCCTTTGTTAGTATCTAAATTTAAATTCTAAGAACAAACATTAAACATTCTGAACACAAACAAGCTGCTGGCCTCTGGGATCAGGTAACTAATGAGCTGTCACAGGACTTGAATTTGACTCACCCTTTCTGTCCCAGAGACTGAAGCTTTGAAGTCTCCTTCCTGGATTTTCTGAATGAGAACAGGGAAGCAAAGGATGGTCTGAAGCCCAGTCGGGAAGGACTGGATGTTGGGTTTCTTTGAGTAGGTATATTTTTAAATCTTGATGTTCGTAATTCCATAGGATCTAAAAGAAAATTGTAACAATTCAGTATCATTAAAATATCTCCAGGTAAATAAATCTCAGAGAACTAAGACTTCCTTCTCACTTCCCTCCTCTCTCTATGGAATCTAGAGGCGTAGCAGGCGTCCCCACATGAAGACCTCAGGAACCAAGGGAGTCCTGTGCCTCTGGTGGTTCTGCAGTGAAGAGTCTCATGAAGACTAGGGGGTGTTTTCATATGCACTGTGGACCACAGTCCTGTGGAACCCTCCCCTACACCAGCCGTGTGAATTCTACTCACTGTCTTCCCCATGGCTAGCTAAAACCCGTGGGGAGGTGTCAGGGACCCCATTCAGTTCTCATGTTGTTCTTAACCACCTTGTCCTTCAGAAATTCTTATTTTAGTATTTTAGAACGTAGTGATAGATATAATGTACTTTCATATCAAAGAGAGTAAAGGGAAATGAAATTAAGTCATTTAGAGTGATTCTTATTCCTGTCAAAAATCTATGTATATATATTTGCTATATATATGATTTATATATATATGTATGCATGTAATATAAATATGTAGAATATATAGTTATTATATAGTTTTATATATGAGTATTTAAAATCCTGAGACAACATCAACACATACAAAGTCCATAATACTGTAATACTTTTTGACTTGCTGAGTTTATAAATATTAGAGAAACTCAAGGTAAGGGGAAAGTCACCATAGTAATTATGGGTTAATTAAATATCTAAACTGTGGGTCTTTTTAGATAGATTTGTTTATTATGGGAGTTGCAAAATATTGTCAATATGTAAGTTTAGAAATATTGTTACATGTTTCTTGATGTTACTAATGTTAGTCACATATAAGCAAAAACAGTCAATTTAGCTATCAGTAGATACTTTATATAGTTGTATTATTTCATAATTTCTAAAGCACTTTGTTATTCTCATTATGGTCCTGTGAAAGGTTTTATTATCCTCATTTTCAGATAAAAAAAAAACCCTAAGAGACTGGTGAAGGTATGCATCATGTTGGTAGACACACAGTTAGATTGTCCACAGAAAGCATTTATTGGACTCACAGGGTTTAAGTTACCAAAGCACCAGAGGGGTGGCAGCTCTTCTACTACCTTCCCCCTCTCCTTCTCACTCCTTCTTTGTCTCCCCCTCCTTCTGCATCATCAACACACTTACTTAAGTGCTTGCTGTGTTTCAGCTCAGTACTTCATACGTATTATTTTATTTAATTCTCACAACTACCCTATGAGATAGGAATTACCATACCCATTTAAAGATGAGAAAATTGAGGTTTATAGAGAATAAGTAACTTGAATAAAGTCACATGGATTCTGATAGACCAGAGAATATATGCAGAGACAGAGTGGAGATTTGAATTCAGGACTTAAAAAAATATTAATGTCTATGTTCTTAACCACTATACTATATTGCCTGATTCTAAACACATAAACACCAGACATTATAGTACATTTTCAGTTCACTCTTTTAATTGTGTGCATTATGAAACTTCTGTACCATGTTATCTCACAATAGTCCTAAACATAGATTAGATCATTGGAGAGCCACTGAGCCACTATCTACAATACAGTGCCATGAGAGAAACAATTAGATGTAAATTTTTTCTCACCATTTTCCGCCATCCCCTTCCTTAGCCTATATGTAAGGGGTTGTTTTAACATTTGGCTAACATCTGTTTCATTGCAAAACTTTTTTCTTTGAATTTCTTCAAACCATTCACCAGTCACTCCTTGGAGCCATCTGCTATTCCTCTTTGTCTTCTGGAGCTTGCTGAAATAAAGGAAAAACATCAACACACACTTTAAATTCTGCTCATCAAATGTAAACTCATGTAATGGGCTAAACTTTACCTAAGAGAGAAGCTCCATAAATTTTAAATCTGGGGGGAAAGTTACCTGTAATCAAAATTTCCTTTTCACAATTGTGTTTATATATTAGCTGGATTCCTCCAAATACAATAACAATCCAAAGTTTGTTTTTTTTAATCCTCACCTGAGGATATTTTTTCCATTGATTTTTAGAGAGAGTGGAAGGGAGGGATGGGGCGGGGGAGAGAGAGAGAGAAAGAGAGAGAGAGAGAGAGAGAGAGAGAAACATCAATGTGAGAGCCAAACATTGATCAACTGCCTCCTGCATGCCCCCCTATATGAGGACTGAGCCCATAACCTGGGCATGTGCCCTGACTGGGAATCGAACCAGCTATCTTTCAGAGCACAGGATGATATCCAACCAACTGAGCTACACAACCAGGCTTGATCCTTTCTACTTCTTCTTTTTTTAATCCTCACCTGAGGATATGTTTGTGTTTTTTTAAATTGACTTTCAGAGAGAGAGAGAGAGATCAGTTGCCTCTCACATGTGCCCCAATGGGGGATTGAACCTACAACCTAGGTATGTGCCCTGACTGGGAATTGAACCCGCAACATTTTGGTGTATGAGACGATGCTCCAACTAACTGAGCCACCTGGCCAGGACTTTCTTCTTCTTCTTAAAGAAGACGCTTTAAAATTTCTTGTAATACAGGTTTGGTGGTAATGAACTCCTTTAGTTTTTTTCTTGTCTGGGAAGCTCTTTCTTTGTCCTTCAATTTAAATGATAGCTCTGTTGGGTAAAGTAATCTTGGTTGCAGGCCCTTGCTTTTTATCACTTTGAATATTTTGTGCTTATCTCTTCTGGCCTGCAACATTTCTGTTGAAAAATCAGCTGACAGTCTTATTGGAGCTCCCTTGCAAATAACTAACTGCTTTTTGCTTGCTGCTTTTAAGATTCTCTCTTTGTCTTTAACCTTTGGCATTTTAATTATGATGTGTCTTGGTGTGGGCCTCTTTGGGTTCATCTTGAGACTCTGAGCACTTCCTGGACTTGTATGTCTGTTTCTTTAAGCAATTTAGGGAAGATTTCTGTCACATTTTTTCAAATAGGCTTTCAATTTCTCTGCTTCATCTAGTGGATTCCTCATAATTTATTCTTCACTTCAGTTAGTGTATTCCTTATTTCTGATTGGTTCTTTTTTTATGGTTTCCATGTCTTTGTTTATGCTGTTGAAGTTCTCACTAAGTTACTTGAACTATGGGACCTGTTTCTTTGTCACCTTATTTTGATGAATTCCCTGTGTTTGTCTCTATTAGATAAAGCTGCTACATCTCCCAAACTTGCTAGAGTAGCTTCATGTAGTAGGTGTCCAGTGGTTCAGCCTCCTGTCACCCCAGTTGGGTGCAGGTGTGCCCCCTGTGAGCTCTGTGCACTGTCCTATCGTAGTTGAGCTTTGATTTCTGTCAGCACCTCAATGGGAGCAATTGACTCCAGGTTGATGATTTTTGAGGACTGGCTATGACTACAGTAGAGAATCTGCTGTGCAGAGGCAGATTCCATGAAGCAGGACTCACTTTAGTGGATATTTGGTGTCTGTTGAGTCTGCCCCTTGAGTGTGTTGCTGCTGGAGTGGTTGGATGGTGCTTCATCATGGTCTGAAGCTGTCCACTGGGTACACTGCCTCTGGGGCTTCCTGGGATGTGCTGGACAAAGTTAGTGCCACCTATTCCCTAACTGGGGCCACCCAACATGAGCTACAGAACTATCTACTACTTGTGCTGGGCTTGGAGGTACTCAGGTGAGGCCAACTCTGAACCAAGGTTGGCTGCTGCTAGTGCCGGGCCTAGGGCCACACAGTGAGAGGTATGGGGCACCCACAGGCCACATGCTGCTTGCTTGAGGGACTTTAGAAAAGTCTGAAGCATGAGCCAAGACAGGCCTTTTGTGTGAAAAAGTCACTGGAAATAGTTTGAGTGGATCCAATAGTTAGGACATGGTCTCAGAGAATCACTAGGGAAGGATGAACAGTGTCAGCCAGGTTGATGGAGACTTGGATATGGCACCCACCTGCCAGCTTTGGGGGGAGGACTTAGCAAAGGAACAATGGCCTCTGCCAGCACCTCTGTCTAGGAGAAAGCACCCCCTCGAGCCCTCCTCCTGAAGCCAGACAATTCAGTTTCTCCCTACATGTCCCTGGTTCCTTTCGAGTTGCTGCACCAGCACTGGAGCTCAGAGGGAGCGAGTCAGAGTAAGTCTGTGCACAGGCCCTTTAAGAGGAATGCCTGGGACTCCAGAATCCTTTATCTCATTCAGCCACAATCTTCACTTATTTTCACAGCCAGAAGTTATGGAGACTTCTCTTCTTAGCACTGGAACCCTGGCTGGGGGTTCTGAGTGGGGCTAGGACCACTTACTCCTTGGGGGAACCTCCTCGGCTGAGATATTCTTCCCAATTGTCACATGTGGGTATAGAACCAGCCCATTCTGCATCTCTGCCCCTCCTATCAGTCTCAATGTGGCTTCTTCTGAATATTCTTAGTTATAAGACTTCTGTTCAGCTAGATTTCAGGTCGTTCTGAATGATGGTTGTTCTATAATTTAGTTGTAATTCTGATGTTTCTCTGAGAGTTTAAAGTACCACATGTACCTCTGCAACCTCTTGACCAGAACCTCATGATTGTTTTTGTTGTTTTTTTATCCTCACCCAAGGACATTCTTCCATTTTTTGTTCAGATACAGTGGGAGGGAGAGAGAGGAAGAGAGAGAGAGAAACATCGACGTGAAAGGGACACATCGAGTGGTTGCCACCCGCACAACCAACCAGGGTCAGGGACAATCTGCAACTGAGGTATGTGCCTTTAGCGGGAACTGAACCCGGGTCTCTCTGGACTGCAGGCTGATGCTCTAACCACTGAGTCAAGCCGGCCAGGGCTCATGATTGTTTTTATTATATTTTTTATTTTTTATCCTTACCCGAGGACACTTTTTCATTTTTTGTTCAGATAGAGTGGGAGGGAGAGAGAGGAAGAGAGAGAGAAAAACATCGATGTGAAAGGGACACATCCAGTGGTTGCCACCAGCATGACCCAACCAGGGCCAGGGACAAACTGCAACCAAGATATGTGCCCTTAGCGGAAACTGAAGCCCGGTCTCTCTGGACCACAGGCTGATGTTCTAACCGCTAAGCCAAACTGGCCAGGGTCATGATTGTTTTTGAAAAACAGATCATTTTGCTCAATTTCAGGAGGCCTCTCAAATTATTTGGAAATGGGAGGTGCTCAACCCAGAGGGACACAGCCCTGGACCAAGGCAAACAGAGCAGAAAGGGGAGTTTAAAGAACATGACAATTCTGATGAAGCAGTCAGGTTGGCAAAGCGATGAAAAAGTCAGGCTTCTTTTTAGGTTCAAACTTGGGAAGTTCTGCTGTTTTGGAGAGACTTTCATGTGACTCTGCAGTGGTTGCCCATTATCCAGGGTCCTCTGAGAAGCACACATTTTAGGGACTTTGTATTACTAAGAAGGTAGTGAGCAAGACAGCTTCAGAGTGGCAAATTAGAAGTTAAAGGCAATGAACTGAGATGGCTGCAACTCAGGCTCCTGCTTGGGGCTATGATACTGTCATTTTAAAAAATAATTGAGAAGGAATACAGAGGCCATCCTGCCCAGACTTGCATTTGAAAAACATTAGGCAATAATCATTATGTCCAGCCCACATAATTTGCACTAGTGCTTCCTATTTTGCCATTTCCACCCCTCTGACACCAGGTCACTCCTGTCTCTGTTGCTACTTCCCTTACTAACAGATTAGGAGACCAGCAGCTGCCTCCAACTAATCAACACCTCACTTTTTAATTCCCGAAATTTGCTATGACCTTGACTTTCAGAAGCGCTCCCAAATGATCAGACCCTCACATTCAGTACCACCACTTCTCAACACATCCATCTTATTTCAGAGGACAGCCAAGATACCTGACTTAGGAGCTCTCTAATAAACATAGCTAATTTTTTTTTTTCCTAAAGGCTCAATGTAACACTAATTCTCTCTCTTTTTTTTTTTTTTAAAGAGTTTGGATTTAAACATGTTATGTTTTATTTTATTTTATTTTATTTTCATTTTTGTGCAGATAGAGAAGGAGGGAGAGAGAGGGAGAGAGAGAGAGAGAGAAACATCAATGTGAAGGGACACATCGAGTGGCTGCCACCCGCACGACCAACCAGGGCCGGGGACAAACCGCAACCGAGGTACGTGCCCTTAGCAGGAACCGAACCCGGGTCTCCCTGTACCGCAGGCCGACGCTCCAACCGCTGAGCCAAACCGGCCAGGGCACACTAATTCTCTTTTAAAATACTCACACTGAGATTCCAAAATGGCGGCAAAGTGAATGGAAGCCACACAGACCGTCTCCCAGGACCAAACTAGAATTACAACTAAAATAAAGACAATTCGACGGGAAAAAGAAACAGAAAGCAGCTTGCAAAGATCACATAACCAGGGACACTGACTCAATCCTGGTAGGATTGCGGAGGCGCAAGCTGGGGGCTGGGAGCCCAGAGATAGCAGCCACCTTAGCTGTGAGCAGTGCCCTAGGGTTAAACTCCCAAAGAGGTTCCACAGCTTAGAGCCGGGACAGAGCTCTAAAATAGCTATAGTCACTCACCTTGAACTCTGGCAGAAGAAGGGCAGACTGGACTAGAACTGTGTGGAGACACTTGGGGTTTGGAGTGGGGCTCAGAGCTTTTGCTGAGTTGCAGCCACACAGGACAGTGGCCATCTTACTCCTTCCCAGAGCTCTGGGGAGAGGTGGCGGCCCCTCCCTTGGAGATTCAACCCCATCCAGGTGGGCCATTGAAATGCAAATGGACGCTCATTAACAACCAACATCTGCCCCACTCTCAAGAAATCCCCTTACACTGAGCACCTGAGGGAGT